TGACAGAACCATGAAAGCTTAAAATAACAACACTCTTCAGGAGATCAAATTGATAGCGATGTCACCAAAGGCCTTGAATAACCCCATTCATCTCTGTGAACTATAATACAATGGTCTCAGAATTGCCACCATCTTTTCCCCCTGAATTTTAAAGCAGCACTGGAGAAAAAAAGAAGTAAATACAAACATGTGCTTAGAAAAAGGAAAAGTTTTTAAAAATTTTCAATGTTCAGAACTTTAATTTCCATAGCCAAGTGTTATTTTCTTGAACTGTATCATGTGATACTTAGGGGGTTAAAGAATGTATCCTTGACTTATATAGATAGATATAGATATACCTATAGATATAGATATATGTAGGTATATCTATATCTGTATGTAGGTGTAGATATAGGTATAGGTGTAGATATTGATATATAGTCTGCTATTAGGTCTAAAATCCTAAACCTTAACTAATATCTCTAAGTACAGATGCCATTGCTTTAATCACATTTATTCCAAATTACTATCCAAGAGGAGTTTATTAGGGATTCATGTCACTTCAACACTCCCAAATAAACAAAAATTACATTCAATATTGCATGTTAATTATTTCCAATTATTTCTTCCAATTATTTGTCCCATAGTATTAAAATGTTATTAAATATATGAAATGAAAGACTATTTGAAATAAAAGACTATTTGATGATATGAATCAATGTTATTTTTTAATTCAAAGCCTTAGTGAAGTAAATTAAGATAAAAAGTCTGTAAATCAATCTGCCTAAGTATGATAGTTTTAATTATGAAAGTATTAAATAAAATAAAAATAGCTATGTAAAATAAGTTGAGATTTGAGCCAAAAAAATATACTGTTTACTATGTAATAGAATAACCTAAATTATTGTGCTTGATTTTCAATTTTAGCATGTCTGTTTAATATAATTTTTATATCTAATTAAATTTTACTTATAGCAAGGACAAGAGTGTTTCTCTCTTTTGTAATTCTAAAATTTGAAATAGATATACTTTAACAATATTATAGAGAAGGAAATAACATGTTCAACATTCAGTAGTACAACTTTTAAGGTTAAATATAACAAATTATTTCAATTAAAACAAATATACATCATTAATTTGATATTAATAGTCTGGGTAAATATAAATTTACTCTATTTTAAACAAGCTTATTGTGTTTTTGTTGCACAGCAGACACTGTCAAATCCATTCAAATAAATTATAAAATCCCCTAAAACTTTATAATTTTTTTCTGTTTAGCATTTCTAAAAGCAGAGATCCAGATAAATCTGTCTAATTCCCCATCATTCTTCATACCCCAAATTTCAGGGTGGATGTGCAGATGTTGTTCTAGCAGTGTCCATATCAGATTCCAGAAACTGAACATAGGGCTAAGGGCCTAATGTTAATGACCAGTAACTCAGGGGTTCTCTCTACTGTTTGGCAGGCAGGAAAGCATCAAGGTATGGGCCTGAATGCTTGGAATGAGGAAATTAAAGAGAAATAAAGGAAGAAGTGAGGAAGGGGAAAAGGAAGGAAAGTACAAAATGAAAACACACAAAGACCAGGTTGAGAAAAATCAAGGCTTTAGTCCTCAGTCTAGTACTAGTTACTAAGTGGCCCCAGGCAATAACATTCTATTTTTGGTAACTTACCATTCTAATTCATAAAATAAGAAATACAAATATTTTCTAAAGCTTTCTAAATCTAAAACACTATGACCCTTCCTGAAGAAAACATTCCTATTTCAAGGAATGAGAAGAAGCCAAGCACACCACAGGCATATCAATATTGTCTATCTTAACTCATAAAAGCCTAGTAATCAGGGCCTTGTGAACATTCACATCAATAAATATTGTACCTTTTATTACACCCATGGTTTTTAAATACAACTCTTTCATCTGACAGCCCTGGTGAAACACACACACACACACCATTAGTACAAATTACAGTGCAGAGGAGAGAGGGATTAACTATGTGAAGACCTACTTATACGACATTCATGCTAGACTTTAAAGGATAAAAAAAGCAGGAGATATGAAACATGCATGGATTGTTCATAAAAATATAGAAAACGAATTTATAAAAATTAGAACAAGATTTGCAAAAATTAGAATAGAACAAGGTCAAATTGTAAAGCCCTTTGAATGGTATAGAGAATAACTATGTTTAATGGTTATCCCAGAAAGAAAGAAAAATTAGAATAATTTCCTAAAGTGAAACTCATTAAAATTATTATCAGGATTTACACAGTAAGCAACCTTAGGGCCTCAAATATTCTACATATGAGAGAAGCCATATGTAGAATGAAGGACCACTCAGCTAAGCCTAGTTTGTATTTCCAGATTGTAAGTAAATAATCTGTGTAAGACAAGGAGTGCTGCTATAGCAGAGAAACTAAACATATGGCAGTTGCTTTGGTACTAAACAGGCTGTAAATGCTGGAATGAGTGGAGGATGGGAGAATAGAAGAGAAGTAAAACAACTGCTATTGGAGATAAAGGGTCATGCTGTCTGTAATAATTTGGAAAATAGAAAAAATACTTCATAATGTTGTGGATCAAATTAAGAACATTTCTCAGCTGTTGAAAGTGGCAACTAGCACACAGGCATTTCCATCCAGTAAATGGACTGACTCAGAGGGCAAAGCGATGAAATTACGAGCCACAGATAACCACTCCTAGGGAGCAGACTCGATCAAAGAACATTCCCTGCTCTACAGAGATGGATCTTTACAACATCTACACAAATTTCAGAATCCGAACAAAACAGTGTTTGCTGCATACCTGCCTTTAGATATTAGAGACTCTTTTCCAATGATCTTGTCTTTGTCCCATGTGTGTTGTGTGTGTGGGGGGGAACAATACATTTCATTTTGGTTCTCAGTTCTCCAGGTCAGGGTGAGCTTTAGCTTTGCTCACACCTGGAATTGATTTCAACGATGCTCTCTGGACTTAAACACAATGCCATGTAGGGTAAGTCTTTGGGAGGCTGTGGGTTTTTGTGCATGAAGGAGAAACGTTGATCATGAGAAACTAGAGAGTGAACTGTAGTATACCACCACATTGGTTGCTCACTGTAAACATACTTCCAGGTATTCATCCCTGTGCAGTCCCCTCATTTACTAACTTACTACTTGGCCATGTGACAATCTGTTTCTTAAAGCCAGCCACGGTACTGTAACAAAGGTTGGACTAGATTTTTAAATGAGAGGCCATCTAGAGAAAGGCCCTTGAAGATGAGAGGTCACCTCGAACATCACAACTCCCATCAAGCTCCCAGCTGGAAACAGCTGCAGGAGTGACCTCTGTTTAATCTGCATTAAGCAATAGAGATACTCTGCTGAATCCTGAGAAATAATGAATCATTTAGCTTTATACTAATAAGTGCTGGGCTGTATTGTCTCAATAGTAATAGATAACTGAAACACATACTTAATATTTATCTCTACCAACTACCAAAGCAATGAACAGATAGCAGGTTATTCCCAAATTTCAGTAACTTAAATAATATAATTTTTCAGAGCAGAGCAGATTAAACAGACTAACAGAACAGACTAAAAGAAAATCATGTATATCTATGGTGTCATATTACTACTCCAGGTACAGTTTATTCATATAAATTCCAATTAATCTGACATTTAGATTATATGTATATGTGAGTTAGAGATTTGGTTGTGAGATAACTTGTTGATAGATGGCAATAGGATAAAAGACAAAAAACATTGTCAGAGGATGGAAATGGGCAATCCAAAACAAAGTGTCAAGAGCGCACATTTTATCTACTATTTCTGCAATCAAATAAATCATAATCAAGGTAACAAGCTATAAAAACAGATGAATCTAGGAGTAGCTCTGGATAAGCTGATAATGATTATCATTTGTTCAAAATCAACTTTGCCCAACAATAGAAGGAATTTTAAGGCATGTAATAAGAACGTAATCACACAGAACAAACATACTAAGTAAAAGCCATCTAGCCATCAGCAATTACCATTCCCTGTAATTCTGTGGTCAATGCTATGAAAAATTACCAATATTTAATAACTAATCACATAAATCATATTATAAAACTATTCTTTAAATATTTTTAAACTTTTTATATCAATTAATGTCCAGCTTCTCCAATTTTAAAATATGGTGAAACTACATGGATAGTATGTCTAATATGTTTATCCAAAGCTCTTACTATCTTCTTAATCTCATTGAACAGTTACTTATACATATGAATTTTTCTTTAGAATATTTTTCAATGTAAAATATTTTATAAAGTTCCCCTACCTTTAGGGGAACTTATTGTGCAACTTATTTTTGTTTCATTATATTTTATGAGTGAAGGATAAAAATTTTCTTTCTTTCTATTCTATTGATAAACTTCAATAGAATATTTTAATTTTTAAATATTGGAGGGAATTGGCTCATACTTCACAAAAATATACTGCAGACCTTTTATGCAAATATTAATTTTTTTTCAAATGGCTAACATAATCATTATTGGAGGCACTAGTGAACTTTTCAAAAACCAAGTGTTTTGTAAATATATAAAATCTTTAAATATTCATGCATATTACCCATAACGCTTATGTACATAAAAGTATGTTTTTCTTATTTACTCTCACCCTTTTTAATGAGTATGAATATAGAAAAAGGTCAATAAATTCAATACAGTGCTATAGAAAATAAACATAAATAATTTACTTTTGAGAGGAAAAAACCTCTACTTTGTTACTATTTACCAATGAATAATTGCATTTATATATTTCTGTTTTGATTATAATTCCTAAATCCAATCAATTCATATAGATTATCTTTACCATGGATATATAAAAATTGTAAATGTATAATTTATTAGATTAATAAGCCTTCATAACATAATTCACATAAAGAAAATCATTTTATATTAAAAACGCTAGGTGTTATATTAATCATAACAATGTAAAAGGTCCTGTTCTTAAGTTAAAAAAATCATTTAAATGTTTAATACATTATTTGAATGTTCCTTACCGTGGCAAGAACCCTCAATTTCTTCATATCCAGTGCTACAGATGCACCTTCCAAGAGGAACCAGCCAATCCCCATCCGCTCCACAATACAGTTTTGGAGTGTCACGCTCTTCTGCACTCTTCACACAAGCACCCCTGACTTCCACCAAAGAGGAAGAGTCCACCCTTGGGATGGTGTCAGGGAATACAGCCAAGTTGCGAACAGTGAAGGGGCACTTTTTGTAGAAAACACGGACGGAGACCAGGGCAATGCATGCTCCAATGTCTTGAAAAGCCAGATAAAATCCTTTCTTGTCTATAGGCCCCACCTCACGAATTTCAGTGTTGAGTTTGAGGATACGATCACCCAAATCCATCTGGGTAAAACTTTCATCTGCAGCAATTGTATCGATCTTTGTATATTGGCTTGGCTTGAATTTAATTCCATGGGACTCATCTGATTCCACATAATACAGATTAAAGGTTTCTTTGCAAGTCCCTGAGACCCAAGGGATGCTGTTACAATCCCTCAGTGTGAACTTCATCTCCACATAAATTTTCTGAGCTGCATCTCGGGAGATCCAGTTTGTACGAAGCCAATTGTTTTGGTTAGGCTCCATTACATTGCACACCTGGTATGTGTGAATGGGCCTATTATGTTCATCCATTTCAGTAATGGCATCCCACTGCAAAAAAATAATAATAACAGTTAAATGTTTATAAAAGTACAGTGGTTACACATAAATGATTGCTCCTCAAATTTTCAAAATTTAAAAAAGGACATGAATAAAAAGGATGCAAATGAAGGTAGTCAAAGCATTTATTAATGCAGCAGGATTTTCACCATGAAAATACTCCTCTTTGGTTAGGAGTATAGGTTTTGGACATACCAGCTGTTCTGGTGAATCCTAATTTCCTGTATATTAGATGCATGACCAAGAGCTACTAAATTTAAGCTCTGGTTTTCTTAAATGTAAAATGTACCTGGTTTCATAGGGTTGTTGTGAGGCATGAATTAGTTAATACTTGTAAAGCACTTTAAATAATTCCTGGTGTACTATAGGAATGTAATATGGGAGTCAAGATGGAAAACATGGCATGGATTCTCACACAATCACACCAAAAATTACAACTAAACTACAAAACAAATATCACCCCAAATGTCAGAACATCAAGCTATATGGAGGCCCAACAACCAAGGAATTAAAAAAGTCACATTCTTCCAGATTGACAGGGGGCACGTAGATGCAGAGATGTACAGAGACACGGAGACATGGAGATGTGGAGCTGGTGGTCCTAAACCACATGTGGTGGATACAAATCAGGAGGGACATCTCGGGAGTGAGGAATCCCAGCCCCACACCAGACAACCCAACCCAGTTTCCAGTGCTAGGAAGATAAGTGCCCATAAGTTCTGTCTGTAAGAACCGCTGGGGGTTAGGGTGGCAGAAGAAACTGGGATTCTCAGGAGCCTCCTCTTAAAGGGCCAACAACAGACTTAGGACTTAACAGACTCACTTCCTCTGGGCCCAGCACTGGAGCAGCAGCTATAAGGGCAACAATGGAATATGGGGAGAAACTGAAAGGGGCATCAGGGCGAGTGCCAAAGGACAGCTTGCTTCTGGACAAAACTCTAGAGGTATGGTAGTGGCATTAACCCCTTTCTGAGCCTTCCCTCACACAGAGCCACTGAGTGGCAACACCATATTGGAGACTCCATCAACCTGGTTCACATAGGTTGTCCCACCCTGGTCATTAACTAAGGCTCTGCTCCTCCCAGCTTATGTGTGCGCTTTTCTACAATAGTCCACTTCTACTACGAAGGGACTCAAAAGCAGATCTACCTAATATATATAAACAAACACAGAAAGGCTGCCACACCGAGGAGACAAAGAAATATGGCCCCGATGAAAGAACAGAACAAAATGCCAGAAAATGAACTAAACTACTGGAGATAAGCAATCCATCCGATGCAGAGTCCAAAACACTAATTATTAGGATGCTCAAGGAACTCATCAGGTATTGCAACAGCATAACAAAGACCCAGGAAGAAATGAAGGTTACACTAAGTGAAATAAAAAACAATTTACAGGGAAACAATGGTAGGCTTAGATGAAGCCAAGACTCAAGAATCAAATAAATGATTTGGAAGACAAGGAAGAAAAAACACTCAATCAGAACATCAAGAAGAAAAAAAATTAAAAAAAACAAGGATGGGTAAAGAGCATCTGGAACAACTTCAAATGCACATTCATTCAAATCATAGGGGTGCCAGAAGAAAAAGAGAAAGAGCAAGAAACTGAAAACTTATTTGAAAAAAATAATGAAAGAAAACTTCCTTAATTTGCTAAAGGAAATAGACCTGCAAGTCCAAGAAGCACAGAGAGTTTCAAATAAGATAGACCCAAAGAGAACCATACCGAGATACATCATTAAAGTACCAAAGGTTAAAGATAAAGAGAAAATCTTAAAAGCAGCCCCCTCCCCCCAAAAGCAGATAGTTACCTAAAAGAAACTTTGCAGGCTAGAAGGGACTGGAAAAAAGTATTCCAAGTGATGATAATCAAGGACCTACAATCTAGATTACTCTACCAAGCAGGGCTATCATTTAGAATCAAAGGACAAATCGGTGTATGCAAAATAGACATGGGGATGTTAAGAACAGTATAAGAAATGGAGGAGCCAAAGAACTTACATACATGACCCATGGGACGTGGACTAAGGTGGGAATTGCTGGGGGGAAAGGGGGGGTACTGGGTGGAGGGGGACAAAGGGGGAAAATTGGGACAAATATAATAGCATAATTAATGAAATATATTAAAAAATGAAAAACTCCAGATGTCTTCACTGTTGAACTTTTCCACATATTTAGGAAGGAAAAAAATAATCATACCCAAAATCTTTCTGAACACAGAGGAGGGAATACTTACCAATTTATTGTTACTTTAAAAAAATCCTTACTCAAGGATATATTTATTGATTTTAGAGAGAGAGGGAGAAGGAGAAAAACATCAGCTTCAAAGAGAAATACTCATCAGTTGCTTCCTGTATGCACTCCAAATGGGATCAAACCTGCAACCTAGCTATGTGCCCTGATTGGGAATCGAACCCATAACCTTTTGGTGTTCGAATTTATTTTACAACCAAATTTATTTTACAAGGCCAGAATAACCTTAACATAAACATTTGATAAAGATATCGGAGAAAAGAAGATTATAAATTGATATCCTTCATGAAGATAGAGGCAAAAATCTGATTACTCTTTGATGCAGCAATATCATTTCTAGGAGTTTGTTCAAAAGAAGCATTCTTGAAATTGTACAAAGATTAACTACAGGATATCTAGTATAGTAATATTTTTAACTGTCAACATTGGAAACAACTTAAATGTCCCCAAAGCGTGACCAGTTAAATAAATACAGTATCTTTATGATAGAATATGTAGCTATTAAAGTATAATAGAAATGTGCATTGAAAAAGAAAAACTCACTATATTTTAAGCACTTTGACTTTATTCTAAGCTGGATCACTGTAATATTTTACTTCTGTGTGTTTACATACAAGTATTCTGCCATTTATTTGAATAAAAAACCTTATTTATCTTTTTAAAAAAATTAATAAAAAATTTTGAGTACCTTGAAATTGTTAGTATCAGTATTTATCTAGAATAATGCATAATTCTATAATATAAATTTATATGTAATTATATTTTATTTATAACAGTAGTTGTAATTTTCAAAAAAATCATTCTGGTAACTTTATAGGCAGTTTGGGAAAACAGGCTATCATAGTTTCTCATTACTGTTAAAGTTGTGTGGAAATAATAAACTACTTTTATGGTGAATAAGTGTTTAATTTTTTGATATTATAATTTAGTTATTTATAATAAAATTATTTCATGCATTCTGCTTGCAGTTTCTCATTTTAATTGACTGTAAGAGTCATTTATCAAGGCTCGTTGAGTTTCAATTAGTATAGCTCCGAAAGGAGTGGCTACTTTCTTCAGTCCACAAGACTGTTAGCACACTCAGTACTTCCAATTATCTACCGTAAATTTTCACAAACAAAAGGTTTATATTATCTACAAAAGAATTAAAAATAATCTGCATCTTAAATTTTCATTTGGAAGGTGCTTGCTTGAAATTCAGAATATTTTCCAGAAGTAACAGTGAGTTTCTGTGAAAAGAATTTCAAGTATACACTCATTGTCAGGGATGATCCGATAATCTCACAGAGACTCATGTAAAAGTTACCCTTCTAAATACTTTTCATCCTAGTGCATCATGGGCCTTAGTAAGAGTTCAAAGGATAGCAATGCTTATGAATGCTGGTGGTTTCAGAGGTTTGGTGAAGAGGGAGGGGTGTGAACTTTGAAGGATTTTAAGATTCAATAAGGCAGAAGGGGAAGAGTAAACAGAAATTAATGTGTAACATTAACTTACAAGCATATTCTCTTTTGCCATTTTAATCCCGTACAACATACATATATACAGTGGGTATAAGTTTTTGTCCCTCTTTAAAACAAGCAAACATATAATTTATTCCCTGCTCTGAAATATTTATATGTACATAAATCTGGTAATTGTAGAAATCACACGATGGAAATATGTATCAAACCAGACATTAATTCTGCTATAAAGTCAGTAATTCAGTCAGCTCCATGCTTTTACATAATAGGCACTAAACCCAAAATACTCTGACTTCTCGAGCTCATTTAAAAAAAGCATATTTTATGTAGTTATTAAAATAAAATACCAATACATAAAAAAATTAGCAATATACCTAATGTGGAAAATAGCACAGTAAATCAAAAATAAATCACACATGCTACACAGAGAAAGATATCTTGCAAACTATATCTGTTCTCATTGCCTGGATGAGTAGAATAGGAAGCTCTTTCTGTCTCACATTTTATAAGCCCTTTCTTTAAATAAAGGAGTAGATAGGAGAATTACAAACTGCTGGACGGAAAAATTTTCCTGCTCAATCAGAAGTTATGGTTAAGCAACAATTAGTTATACAACAAAGGGTTCTTTCTTTAAAAGAAGCTTCAAGGGCATCTTAGATGTAATTATTCCCAAGGGCAACTATTTACATACTGAATTTATACTTGTCAAAGCTTTTTCAAATGTTTATTCCTTTGGTCATCATCAGTCCAATTAAAAGCAGAATACATAATTTCTGTTTCACATTACTGATATAAAAAATCTAATACCTAGGAATTGAAGTAATTGCCTTGTAAGGCATAGACCAGGCCTTCTAACTTTATTTTCTGTTTTATTTTCTGTTTTTCTGGACAACTTGCTGTCCTGGGAGAGACTGCACCTTCCAGGACTAGCTAATTCTTAGAGACAGCAAAGGGCACTGGGCCTAGAAATATCTTCCATATGTAAAAGGGCCAATCCTGAGTCTACAGCACCGATCACAATCTTCCTAACTCTTACGTACAAAACCAATTATTTCCTCTGCCCTAAATGATCCCAGAGCCCTACCCATCAACAAGAGACCACCCCAAGAACCATATCCAACATTTAGATTATTAGAACAAACACCTACATGAGTTATGAGACATTCTTCCTGGTGACCTTTTGAAAGACAATGTATTCTCGTTTAACCAAAAGTTTTCTATTCATCACAGGTAATTCATGCATACACACCTCAAAAAGGACTTCAGTCCTCACAGGAC